GAAGGCCGAAGTGGAAGGATTGCCTGAGCCCAGCAGGCTGATGCTGGGGTAGCCGTGAGCATGTCACTGCACTCCAGCCTGGGTGGCAGAGTGAGACTCCTATTCTAAAAAAAACCCAAAAAACAAAAAAAATGCCCCCAAGAATGTTGGTGGATTTGGATTTGGAGGCATCTTAGCTGGAAACATTTGGCTTACACACTCATATGTTAAACTGTTCGTTTAACACATTTTATTAAATGCCTATCATGAGCAACCTTCTCAGAGCCCCTCCCACTCTGGGAGTTTTTCTGTCCTCTCAATAGATCCTACTTTCTCACAAAAAAAAGAAAAGAAAAGAAAAGTGCCTATCATGAGGCAGTCACTGACTAGGCATTGAGGATAAAGTAGTGAATAAAAACTAGTGAATAAAAGCCGGGCTCGGTGGCTCAGCCTATAATCCCGCAACTTGGGAGGCTGAGGTGAGTGGATTGCCTGAGCCCGTGGGTTCGAGACCTGCCTGGGCAACTTGGCGAGACCTCATCTCTACAGTAAAAAAAAACAAAAAACAAAAAACTAGCTGGGCGTGGTAGCGCGCGCCTGTAGTTCCAGCTACTTCGAAGGCTGAGGCGGAAGGATCACCAGAGCCCAGCAGGTCGAGGCTGCGGTGGCCGGAAGTGGCCACTGCACTCCAGTCTGGGCGACGGAGTGAGACTCCAACTCAAAAAAAAACAAAAACCAAAAAGCAAACAAAAAAAAACTAGTGAATAAAGCCACAGTTTCAGCTACTAATAGTGTTCTTTAATACATGACTATATAGAAATGTCTGGTCGGGCTCGGTGGCTCAGCCTGTAATCCCAACACTCTGTGAGGCCCAGGCGAGTGGATTGCCTGAGCCTGTGGTTTTGAGACCCATCCAGGCAACTTGGTGAGACCTCATCTCTATAATAAATAAAAAATTATCTGGGCGTGGTAGTGCATGCCTGTAGTTCCGGCTACTTGGAAGGCTGAGGTGGAAGGATTGCCGGAGCCCA